TCCATGTTCAGCAAAATATTGCAACATACAGTTAAATTCGCTTCCATTATCACTTCTCACAATTTCGACTTGCACCTCAAATTGTTGTGTAATCATAGCAAAAAAAAAAAGCAAAAGGCTTTATAAACTTCTGTTTTAGAATGCAACAAATATACCCAAACAGCCCTTGAAAAGTCATCAACCAAAGTCAAAAAATAATGTGCACCACCCGATGAAGGTGTCTTATATGGCCCCCATAAATCACAATGAATTAATTCAAAAATCCGACTTGTTTTACTATTACTATTAAGAAAACTTTCTCGTGTTTATTTTGCTTGAGGGCAAACATCACAAGCTTTATTCAACGACTTTCTAGAGGTACTAGAACGAATAGCAGGAACTAACTTGACGACTCTATCCGACGGATGCCCCCATTCGTCTATGCCACAACTCAAATTCGCTGATCTCTAAAACTTTCGTCATGCATACCGAAGGAACCCCGCAATAGAAATAGAGTCCATCTTTTCGTTCACCGGCTCCAATCAAGCTCCCCGAACATTGGTCCTGTATAGCACATAATGAGTCAGTGAACATGACAAAGCATTTAGAGTCATCGATCAATTTTGTCACCGAGATCAAATTGCAATGTAATGTAGGTACGAATAGCATGTGTTCTAGTGTTATTCCTTCAGAAAGTTTCACGCAACCTTCTTTGGTAGCCACGACCTGTTCTCCGTTAGGCAAACCAACATGACATGCTAAAATGTCTTTTGAATGAGTCAAACAGGATGTGTTGCCGGTAACATGATGAGAAGCACCAGTATCAATAATCCAAGATAAAGAATAACACTCACCCATTGTTTGGTCCTGTTGATGATTATTTACCAAATTTAAAAGGATTTGAACTTGCTCAGGTGTCAAATGGGCCAAGGAAGCTCCTTCAGGTCCAAGACTTATTGCCTCGGTATTGCTTGTTCCGCCGTTGTGACTAGTCACTGCATTAACACGTAGTCCTCCAGCTTTTCCATGTTTAGAAACAACCGTCCCGGTGGCAGAGGTATGGTTATTACCGGGCCCTTTACCGCCTCGAGTTCGGTCTTCCCACCAATCTGGATACCCATGAAGCTTAAAACACGTAGCATCATCATGCCCAGATTTTTTACAGTGAGAACAAAGGAGTTTAGACTTATCTTGTCGCTCAAACTTTCCTTTCCAGCGATCAGTCTGTATAGCAAAAACATTTGCTTCTTCTCTCACTGCTTTACCTCGTGCAATACCGCGGGATCTCTCTTCCTGTAGGAACGCCTGATATGCTCGATCTAGATCCGGTGGTGGGTGTTGAGAGAGCAAATTGGTCCGAACCATGGCATATGAGTCATCATCAACACCAATCAAAAACTGATGCAGTTTTTCTTCCTCTCTATCACTGATGAATTTTCCTACCACATCACAGGTACACTTGCCACACTCGCAAGCATGTAATGACTTAAGCCGAGTAAGATCATCATACAAACCCATTAAACGATTATAGTAATCTTCAATAGACATAGATTTAGTTTGCTTACATTCGATGATATATGCCCGTAATTGTTGTAAACGAGGGCCATTAGCCACGCAAAAACGTTTCTCCAGGTAATCCCAAAGTCGTTTTGCCTCATCATGAAAAGGAATTGAAGCCGCAACTTTCGGTTCCATGCTCCGTAACATCCATGACACAAGCATAGAATTAACTATCTCCCAATTAATCAAATTCTTCTTGTCGGACGGTTTGCTGATGGTACCGTCAACAAAKACGAATTTCCGACGAGCCTTAAGAGACAAAGTAATTGCCCTGGCCCAAGCCAAGTAGTTATCGCCCTTCAAGATTACGTGGGTAATCAGATTTCCGGGTTGATCTCCAGAACCAAGATAGAACGGCGATGTTGGATCGATCTTCCCGTCCTCCGCCATTGATAATATAGCTGTGGAGCAAAGCAAGAAATTGGCACGGTTGAAAAAAAAAATTAGGGTTTATGTGGCTCTGATACCATGTAAGGAATCAATTTTCCTTGCCTCCTTTTTATTGAGAGATATATCAAATATATATACAAGTATAAACATCAATTACGCCTAAACATAAGCCTACACTTTTTGACTTACTATAATACAAATTATACACAAAATACATCCTAAAATAGGCTTAATAACTACCTTAAATGGTACCATGGATCATGTCAAGGTTCATCCCATATACATGTAAGAAAAATGTAAATCTATATACCGCTTTTGGTATCAAGCAATGTGCTAAATTGATGTTGTATTTGAGTACCTTTTATGTTCACTTATTCATGGGTTCATGAGATCAGGCTTGTATTAGGGCTCGTTATAAGTTCGTGACCGGATTGCGAAATTTCTAATGCCTCAAATTTTGGCCTGGTCGTATTTTGAGAACCTGCCAAACTCTACTTAAATTTGTTTGGGCTTGAGACTCTGTGTCAATTTCTATGCACATTCATCATTTCTCATGATGACTTGGTCAAAGAAGAAAAAAAAGAAGGCCAAAACATATTCTCACCAACATTTTGATCAAGTCTCCTTTTATCACAAAGTTTATGACTGGTGTGGATGTTTGGATTCAAGTTAAAAAATGTACAATGTAAGCGGTAAGTGCTTTTTCACAATTGAATTCATTTACTTTATTTGACTTCTCTCACCATTGGCAAAAGAGTTTAAGGTGGGAAGAGGTGAATGAATTTGATCAAGCTTCATGAAACAATTATACCTTGAATCTGAATGTTATATTTGTCTAAAAAATGATGAACTTAACATGTAAGTGAAAATTTATCTTTAAATGGTCTTCTATTATAGATTTTGCTATGCTGACTTATGTCTTTGTGGTTTAGCTTTTGGAATACAATGGAATTAAGTACATTTAACGGTTTTTGCAGCCTACCTTTCAGGGAAGATTGAGTCGCGACTCAGGGTTTCTTGGGCAGAATATGTTGATCCACAGGAACCTATGGCGGTCAGTGTGTTATGTGCTATCACTATGCTCTATTTTTAAGACTTATGTTGTGTGTATATTTGGTCTATAAGTTTTTCATAGATGCATATCTTACTGTTATGAGTTTTCTTCTTTATGTTACCTTTCTTGTTATTTATGAGTTCGAGAAATAAAAAGAAAAATGTCTCATAATGGTACAACATTAGGTAAATAAAAAGAAGACTTTAGACTTGGGGTAGACTAAGTTTGAAAAAGAAGACTTCAGACTTATGGTGAGCGAAGTCTGAAGGAAAACTTCAGACTTCGAGTGAGCTAAGTCTGGAAAAGAAGACTTTAGACTTCGGGTGAGCTAAGTCTGAAAAGGAAGACTTCAGACTTTGGGTACGCGAAGTTTGAAAAGGAAGACTTCGGAGTTACAAGTCTGAAGAGTTATAATTAAGAGTTGCACTTCAGAGTTATAAGTCTGAAGAGTTATTTTTAAGAGTTATAATTAAGAGTTGCACTTCAGAGTTATAAGTCNTGCACTTCAGAGTTATAAGTCTGAAGAGTTATTTTTAAGAGTTATAATTAAGAGTTGCACTTCAGAGTTATAAGTCTGAAGAGTTATTTTTAAGAATTATACTTTAGAGTTGCACTTCAGAGTTATTCTTCGGAGTTATACTTCAGAGTTGCACTTCAGACGTAAAACTTGTATCATATAGAGCAAGACCACCCAGAGCCCCTCTAGTCCTTAAGAATCAAAGACTCTCTGCTCCTACCAATCAGAGCAAAGCCAACCAAAAACAAGGTCAATTAGAAGCAAGGCCAACAAAAAGGCAAAGCCAACCAGAGCCTTTGGTTCGTCTATGTAGAGCCTTTAGGTCAAGAATACTTAAAGAATTGAGTTCCAATTACAACCAGAGACCCTTTGATTAAATATGAATATCAACCAGAGCCCCTCTAGTTCTTTTAACATGGATTGGAATATTTTTCCAAGGTTCAAATAAACAACAGAAGTAAAGCCATCAGAGGTCAGGCCAACCAAAGCTCCTCTGGTTATAAAACAATTCATTTTATCACGTCAATAAGATGCGATAACCTTATTCCTCGCATCACACAGCTATGATAACTCATGATCATCGCATCATAAGGATGCGATAACAAAACCCCATGATCAAAAAGATCATAATTTCCATAAATTGATTATGTCACCCTTATCACAAATTTATCTAGCTCCTGAATATGTCACCCTTATTTCAAATTTATCAGCTCCTGATTATGCCACCCTTATTTCAAATTTACCCAGCTCCTTGATATGTCACCCTTATTTCAACACATAATATAATCAATGATAAAAAAAACCACCATTTTGCCAATAATAACATCAAAGCAGTTTCATAACAGTAACTCATATAAAAAACCATACGGTTTTATACCCAGTCTCACCATCATGCTCAAATAGCATCCAAAAATAGTTTTATCATCATCCTCATGTAAGAACCATATGGTTCAAATTTCAAATACCAAATAAGAAAAGTTAATAAACTAAGCTCACCTTTATTTTCACGTAGATGAAGATGAATTAACACATCAACAAGATTTCAAATAGAAATCACAGAATCAGCTTTTCTTTCGCTCCCTTACAGGTTTGTTTTTCACTCAAGAGAACACACACAGAGAAAATCTTTCTTATCCTTCTTATTTACTTCTTCCACATCCCAATGAGATAATAGACAATTATCTCATAATAATACTATTCTAAAACAATGAGGCAGTGGGAGTTTAAAACATTTTAAGCACATTAACACATTAAACCCCCACTTACCATCTCCTTTCAAAAACAACCCCAAATCAATATAACCAAATAACCCGGTTATCACAATGTAACTTCATTATATGCTTGTGTCATGACATTGTTGCTTTGTATTCATTAATGAATCCATTTTGTTCGGTTTTCAGGTGGTTTGTACGCATTTGACCTAGTTCGGGTACCCAACACAAGTTATAAATTCAAATCTTTTTAGAAACACCTACGCATCAATTTGATAATTAACAGTATGTTTAAGTAAGAATCATCAGGATGTCCTATAAATATGGTACTATACCACCACATGAAGTATGGAACAACATATTGAACTTCAAACCTAGAAATGATTGCACAAGTTAGAAACAACACAAGATCGATAGCCACACATGCACACACACGACACGTTCAACGCCCACCCAACGTCGTCATAGTAACTTCATTAAATGTACTCGAGTCACTAGCCGATGTATCAAACTTCTTTGTATAACTTTCTCTGCAAAAACCTGGTTCTTTAGGTTCAGGTAGCTCCATTTTCTCATAACTTAACATGGAATATACTGTAGACATTTTTGGCCGATCTTCGGGATATTGTTGCACACACAAAAGGGCTACTTGAATACATCTTATAACTTGATTTCCGTCGGATGACTCTTGTACTAGATTTGGGTCTAGTATCTCTAGGGGAACTCTTCTGTTCCAAAGCATCCATGCCTGAACTAAGCAGTATTCCAGAAACACTTGGTGAGATCGATCGATTAAAATGCAAATGCATCTGTGTGTATATAGTTCTATATATATATATATATATATATATTGCACTTTATAGAATGTGTGCATTTACAGCGGTAAACACAAAAGCACATAATCATAGGTTATAAGTATCAATAGTAGCAGTCATTGGAACACTACAACAAAATTGAGTTTATGAGACGTAAAAGAATGTTTGAGTGTCCCGATAGACTTTCTACAGGACACTTTAACATTTTTATAGGACTTAGGGTTATAGGACTAAACACTAAAGCATCCTATATCTATAGGTATTACAATAATTTTATAGGACGTTTGGACGTTTTAGTAAGTTTATAAGTGTTCTCTTAGCTAATTTATAGCAGACACTTTGAGAAAAAAATACAAAAGTCCTATAAAAATGTGTTTATCTGACATTTTCCCAAAGTGTCCAATAAAATAACCAATACAATACTTTATTCTAAAAATATATTAGAAAATTGTTAAAACATCCTATAAATTTATTGTAACACTTTAGATATGACGTTTTATTATTTGCTGCTACAAAATTAAGTTCTACAAAATAATCTATTAGAACACTTAGGCGTTGTTTACCAACATTTACCCAGGTAATTGTTTACGGGCAAAATTTAAAACCATCAATTACTTACCGGGTAAGATTTTAGTCTACCAAAACGGTATCGTATGCAACAACTAACCTGGTAAGTGTTAATCGTGGTAAGAGTCGTTGCCGTCACTTACCGGGCAAGACTCTCAGTCCTTGCCTTCGGTCTTACCGGGTAAGATTCTTAGTTCTTGTCATATTGATTCGGTAAGGTAATGTGACTTGGTAAGCGCTTACCCGAATAAGCGTTTGATAAACGGCCCCTTACACACTTTTAGCGTTCTGTAAACCCGATTTTGTTGTCGTAGAATAACGTAGTTAGTAGATAGAGTAGTTGTGAATGGAACTTACATGTCCTAAAAGGTTAAGATCATGATCAGGATGATGAAATGCCCAATTCTTCTGGCCGCTTAAAATTTCCAGCACTATAACACCAAAGCTGTAAACATCTGATTTCACCGAATAATGACCATTCATTGCGTATTCTGGAGACATATAACCGCTGTCGATAGAGCGAGTACGTCAAGAAATGGACATAAAATCAGTATATATGTTGCACATCAAGCATATGAAATTAAGACAACTTACTAGGTCCCTATTATTCTCTTGGTCATTTCTTGTATTTGATCTGTTCCAAATATACGAGCGATGCCAAAATCTGAAATTTTCGGGTTCAACTCACTGTCTAGTAAGATGTTACTAGTTTTTAGATCTCTGTGGATGATTCTCAACCTCGAATCTTGATGAAGATAAAGCAAACCTCGTGCAACACCCTTAATGATGTGGTAGCGCTTTCTCCAGGTCAATAGTTTCCGCGTTGGTTTATCTGTGTATGCAAAGAACTAAGTTGGAAAAAGATTGTGTAATTCAAATTTATGGGGGAGATGAAATACTCCGGTAACCGTTCATCTGGATGGTATGCACATTCATATACAAGTAATTGAAGCTGTTTTTTTGTTTTTTTATGCATGTGTTCATTATGCACATGTGCTGCTGTGCATATGCATGTGTGCATGTTACAAAATACAGTCTAGAAGAAAAATTACTAGCCAAGGTGTTCCTCAGTTTTTCATTTGTATACGATTTTCCTGTATATATAAACTTACCATAGATGAAGTTGTTTAAGCTTTTATTAGGCAAATACTCATAGACTAGCATTGTTTCATCCCCTTCAATGCAGCAACCCAAGAGCTTGACCAGGTTGCGATGTTGTAACTTTGCAATCAAAGTAATCTCGTTCTTCAACTCTTCAACGCCTTGTATCGACTTCTCTAAAAGCCTCTTAACCGCTATCTCTTGTCCATTCGATAATTCACCCTGTGGCATAACATGGTGATAAAAGATAGTAAATGGACACTTACAAGACGTCATTCGGGATTTTAGTGACCAGTACAAAACATTTGTGCAGTGATCACTCGAGAAACCTCGTTTTGTTCAAAAATCTTCCTAACAAGCGCTACGTGAAGTGATACCTTATAGACAGAACCGAAACCGCCTTGTCCAATCTTGTTTCTTTCAGAAAAATTGTTGCAGGCAAGAAATATGGTATCAAGATCAAATAGAGGTAGTTGAAAGCCTTCATCTTGAGTTTCTTCCATTTGTTGGAAACTCCCACTATGTTGAGCTGTTACAAAGTGATACAATATTAACTGGTCAGCCAATATTTACATGACTGATGAAGCAGCTGAATGCTATGATCAAAACAAAAGTATGCAATACAAATGAACATCTAATAGATTAAGCAACTAGAGATATTATGCAACAAGAGTACCTTTAGAGCTACGTCCTATTTGGTCTTTTCTTTTTTCCCTCATTATCCAACTGATGTACCATATGGTACCAATAGATAGAAGCAGTACTCCAATAACGGTTGCCACGGAGACAATCTTGACTGTTATTCGTTTCCTCTTAGCATCAGCAATGGACTCTGAGAGTTTTCACAAACCAGCAAATTAAGATATATGTAAATCTGATGAAAGTGGATGAACACAAGATTAAACGGTACATATAGCCTCAAGGGATGACCCTCAAGTTGGCCTTGTGAAGGTTGGAAAAGGAAGTCTTTGCACATACAAAGGAATAACCTTTATCGGTTGCTTCTTGGCTTTGTACAAACCAATGGATCGAAAAATTGAATTGTGGTGCTCGACCTTGGAGAAACGAGTTAGAAAGTTAAGATGACATACGTAATTCAGCATGTGCCATCCGTATGTAGATCTGCTCCCCACCACCAGGGAGGTTCTTCAAATCAACCAAATCACCGATCCAAACCACGCATCGACTGCCATTTCCATAAACATTAAGATTAGCATAAGCCATACAGCTACAATTTTTCAAACACTTGGCTTTACATTCATCATCTGTGTAATTTGCCCAAACAGTTGGATCATCTGGTAACTTCAATCCGTCGTACTTCACAAATCCATCTCGATGACTACAGTCCAGTTCGTGTCTCCTCCTACAACCACCTGAATAACTAAATAATCCCCAATCCTGTGGTGATTCGGGTGTAAACCCACTCAAACACTTGCAACTACTTAGTGAATAACAGCTCCCATACCGCCCACATTTCATATAGCTATCGCAAGGTTCACTGTTGAACGTTATCAGAAGGTTCCAATCTTTACTTGTATTAACCCTCCACGTATAACACTCAAGTAAACCCATGGGTGAAATCACAAATCTTGATAGAATGGCGTCATCCAATATTTTGAATTTGTAGTAAAGCTCTACGGAATTGTAAACAAATATGGCTTGGAACAATGGATTTGCAGTCAACCTGATGCTGCCACTAAACGAGCTCCCATCAAACGGTCCCCATCTGTATAGTTTCTGTGAACCATGTCGTAGAACCAACTGCGGTGCTTCCGGTGGGTCCAGGCTAAACGAATACTGACCATCTGAAGGATCTTCACTGCTCTTCCACGACCTAACGAACCGGTGCAATCTCACATCCAGTTTCCATCCCAGCTTAAAATCTGGTAAAAGGGTGTCAGTAGGAAAATCGAAGCTTTCCCAGAATAGAGCGCCATTGCTTCTGCCATTTCTAACTACAAGGTTTCCCGAGTCTAATAACTGCAGAACCGGAGTGAAACTTCTCGCAGCAACGGGTATGTTATTGGTCGACCACAAAGTACCCAGTGAGCGATTATAAAGGATTAAAACTCCATTTTCATTCAACGTTAGTTTTCCAAACGAGTCCGGCACAGGGTTGTTCCTGTTGGCCACCCAAACCACCGTAAGCGGTAGGTTGTGAAACCAAATTCCCAGATAGCGACCTCCGGAGGAACCATTACCAGGACTGAAGAACCCAAATTCAAATCTTTTGTTCGACGAAATTAACGTGAGCCCGTCAGTGAAGTTTTGGTGGGGTTTCAAGGTGTCTGCTGAAAGGGAGGTTTGCAAGTTTACAGAAATGAGCAAATATAGAAGTGTGAGGAGCAACCAAGTGCTCATCTTTTGCGGGTTTGAAGTACTTGATCGATTAGTTTTCATAGTAAAATTCCAAAAGTGGATTCATATAGTCTCTATTTGTGAGAGATGATCAACGATTCAATGGAGCATTCGAAAAGTTCTTTATTGACTGGACCATATATATATACTAATACATTTGCTAACCACGTTATTATATAATAATCTTGATTTTCTATCTCCATCTAGTATGGCATGAAGACTTTAATAGTAATAGATACTATGAGTCTGAATCATACAAGTGGGTTTATCGATCTTTCGTGTAAATCTAGAGTTAAACATTCTAGGTGATCTGCATAAAATCTGAAAATGGGAAACTAAACATGCACAAAAGAGCTATTAGCTATGATCAGGTATAATATCAGTACAACACTTCAGTTCTAATTCCATTCCATCTTTGGTTTTTCACTAATATTCTTATTGTGATCGATTGCTTCATCAAGATTTATCCGAAACCCGAAGGCCATTTTCTAGAAGTTTGTGGTCATAGATCCGAAATTGATATGTCACGATGACTTTCAAGTGAATGGTGTGATTAGGCAACTTGTAAATGTTTAATAGCCAATGATCACAGCTTTTTTATTAATCTAATATTGTTTGGGAACCAAAAACTGAGAATTACAGCAACAATCTAATGTGTAGTTCTTTGTCCTAATTCTCCAGTGTGCTGAATAGTTAATTCTGGATTAGGTATAACACCACATGAAACAATAAACAAAGTGGTCTTAATCAAATCTTGAACAAAGGAAAAACAGGCTCACGGAATATCATAAGTCTGATAAGATCCTCTCCCCTCATTTTTCTGCAGAAATTAATGCTTGTTAATTGGAGATAGCCATATAGGAATGATATATTGAACATTATCTGACCACTGGGTCCTGTAGCTCGGCCCAAGAGGTTCAGCCACGTCTGTGTGGTTAGAGGATTATAGGTGTTGGCCAACACAAAAAACCATATATTTGTCATCTACTCCATTTAACTTTTTCCTGATGTCTTCTTTTTGATCCTGATATTCTGCGTGGTATGCATCAAAAGACTACAAATCTTTTCTTGGGACTAATCGTGGTGGTAGCGCTTTTCATGGGACGTAGGGCGTGTCGATTTTCAATCACGAAGTTAATCGTTTTCAATGGCCGTCATGATATTTAACTCATTAGTTATCATCACGCGCAAATCATCAAATTTACCATCTAGAAACATATGGAGTGTTGTTGAAGATTATTGTCCTGAAGAATCTCAATTGAACGAAGCACAAAAAAACGTCGTTAAGAGTGGAACTTTTATAACTAATTCATAAACTAATTTTTATACATCTAAACGGAAATTTAACAATAAGATCAAAAAATAAATGATCTCATGTTTGTTAAAATACGACTTTAATATTATTAAGACGTTTTTCATGTAAAAACGCTACATCTTATCGGGTTTCTTTATTCACATGTGATTGTATGGTATGGTATATATCTATTTATAATGCATTTTTTAAATTTTTATTCGGATATTAAATAGATAAAAGAATAGAAGGTACATTAAAGAATTAATTTTTATTTTAGAAAATATGTGACACCCACACCCACCACATGATCCTTAAAGAAGTAGAAAAGGTTATAATAGAATCTTGTCGATTTAGTTAAGAAGCTTTTTACACAAGAACTAAATTTTTATTCAAAATATATCGAGGGGTGGACACATTTTGTTTTGTTTATGTTTTTTATGTATCGATAATAAATAACAGATTAAATTGATAAAATCTAAATTAACTTTTTTCGACACTTGAAGGCATCCTCCACCTCATTTCATTCGTTTCTTACCCGTTATTATCTTCTAGAGTTTATATTCGGTTTTAGAGTATGTATATATGTAGCGTATATATGTAGTATGCATGTGAGTTCCGGATATATGTATCTCTGTATATGTATAAACTATATATATATATATATGTATGTATATTTGTGTGTGTATGTAGTAGTATCTATTGATGGAGATATATGTATCTATGTATATGTATGTGTGTACTCCTTATATGTGTATATCTATGTACGTATGTATAAGAGTAGTATCTACTGATACATATATGTAGTACATGTATATAGTAGTATTTATATATCTATATACATGTCTTATATGTAGTATTTATGTTTGTACTGTACATATTTATCTATGTTAACTTTATGTATGTAATCGATATATGTTTGTACTTGTTATATGTATAAACTAGATGTAGATATGTATAATAGTAGTAACTATTGATAGATATATGTGGTGGGTGTCAGGCCCGTCCTTGGGAGTGTGTGTCGGGCGCATGTCCAGGGCCCACATGAAATAAGGGTCCAATTTTTTTAGTATATAATAGTAATTCAAAAAAACTTAGAAGATAAAAGAAACACAATTTTTTAGTACCTAATATAGGACTCAAAAAGAATTTAGTGTTATATTAAAGTCCCATAGATGCATTAATTAATTAAATTGGAGAAAAAACATGTAAAAAATTAATTGGTTCTTCATTATATAGTATTGTTTATTGTTTCCTTAAATTTTTTATCTAGTACAGTAGTATCAAAGTCTAAAACTATTTGCCTAGAAAATCTTGATATATTCTCTATCATTCATCTCCTAGTGACTCTTTTGATTATTTTATTCACATGAATTCTATTTTTGTATTATAATATATTAAATATAGATTTCTTGTTATTATCTAAAAAAACTCTTAATTTTGAAAAAAAAAATACCAACCATAAAATGTGGTCCAACTTATATATATATATAAAGAGAGAGGTTCATTCAAGAGAAAACTGACTAGTTTGTGATAACCGTGAGATCCAATCTTAACCACAAATCAATAGATAAATTAGAAAATTTATAATTTTGGTAATTTTGAATTAAAATTTTAATGCAAGGACATTTTAGGTATTTTATCTTCTCTTTTCTCTCTCCGTCCCCCGTCCTCCGGCTACCATCCTTCGGTGATACCACTGTGATATCTAAAAATATTGACTCTGTTAAACAAAAGACACAGTGTGATACCTAAGCACATATAAGATACATTGTGATACCATTGTGATATCACCGGAGGACGGTAGCCGGGGGACAGAGAGAGGAGTGATGAGAGATGAGAAAATGATCTTGCATTAAAATTTTAATTCAAAATTACCAAAATTACAAATTTTCTAATTTATCTATTGATTTGTAGTTGAGGTTGGACCTCACGCTTAAATTAAAATGTCTATATATATATATATATATATGGGTCTAATCAAATGAGAACTAGATAGTTTGTAATAAATGTGAGGTCTAATATGAGCCAATTATTTTAGATAATTAATGTTATTTACTAAAATAAAATAAAGGGTAAATTAGTAAATTATGTTGATTATTAAATTACTTTAATTAGTTTAATATTCCATTTTAATTTAATTAGGTTAATTATTTTAATATATGTAGATATACACACATACACATACACATACACATACACATACACATACACATACACATACACATACACAAACACATAGGGACCAAATTCAGAGGCCTTCTCCGACACCCACCACCACTCCGTTGACCTCCTCCAGTCATCTTGTCTGACCAAGACGCCGTCTCCGATGATTGACCACTAAGTACTCACTTGTGACAGTGGTACCATAGTTGGTATCACAATGGACTCAAAGTTTATTTGGTGTGTTTTGGGTATCACGTTATATATGTTTTTTGTATTTTGGGTATCATATTATGTATGTTTTTTGTATTTTGGGTATCACATGGTGTTGGTCGGAGGTAGGAGAGAGAGGGAGGAGAGATAAAAAAAATTAAAATACCTAAAATACCCTTTAATTATAATTTTAAGTCAAATTACCAAAAATATTAATTTCTTAATTTATCCATTAATTTGTCGTTTGAGATTGGATCTCACGATTATCACAAACTAATCAGTTCTCCCTTAGATGGACTCATATATATATATATATATATATATATATATATATATATATACACACACACACACCTATATAGTCAATAATGTATGAAAAGTATGGATAGTTCTGAAGATGAGGTTTACTTTGCAAACAATGTTATTTGTACAAACCTTATTCAATCAATCATAATTTTTATTTTATTTTTGTAATTATGAGAGGTTGATTAATCATTTTCATTGTGGGGTTGTTATTTTTGGATATTATCATCTTCATTATATTAATTTTAAATAAATACATGAAACAGTTTAATTAAAATTCTATAAGTATTATATGAACAATTTCATCTAGAAAATTACTATACGAAACAATTTCAAAATACTAAACAATTTCATAAAACAAAATCATTAAATTAAACAATAAAATCGACGGATAGGGGTAGTTTGCACGGGGCCTAATCAAATGAGAACTAATTAGTTTATAGTAACCGTGAGATCAAATCTCAACCACAAATCAATAGATAAATTATGAAATTTATAATTTTGGTAATTTTTGATTAAAATTATAATGCAAGGGTATTTTAGGTATTTTCCCGCATCTCTCCTATCTCCTCTCTTCTCTCTCCGTCCTCCGGCCTCCGGCCACCGTCCTCCGGTGATACCACAGTGGTATCACAATGCATCATATATGTGATTGGGTATTACACTGTGGTCGTTTGTGCGGTCGATCGAATATGTAACACAGTAGTATCACAATGCATCTTATATGTGCTTGAGTATCACACTGTGGTATCACCGGAGGATGGTGGCCGGAGACCCGAGGACGGTGGCCGAAAGACGGGGACGGAGAGAAAAGAGAGGAGAAAGTAAAGAAAATACTTAAAATGTCCTTGCATTAAAATTTTAATTAAAAATTACCAAAATTATAAATTTCCTAATTTATCTATTGATTTGTGGTTGAGATTGGATCTCACGGTTACCACAAACTAACCAGTTCTCCCTTGAATGGGCCCCGTTTGCACGGTTTGTACAAATATGGGTGGTTTGCATTTGATCGCTCCTCTAGTTTAGAGTT